TTATTAGGTTTGGGTAGATTTTAATTTACTTCAATCCAAAAATAATAAGATCTGGATTATCTATAAATATATTGATTATTTATATTCATGTTACATGTATCAATTGCATTTTGATATCATTCCATAAAGGTATTTTAAAAGTTAATAATTTTAATTTTTTATTTTTTATCAGTTTTACATATAATATATCAAATTAATTATCTCTTAATGAATTTCGATTTAACATCCGTATTGTATGTGTAAAAAATAAATTATATTTATCTTTATAACAATAATAAAATTATTTTTAATATTAATTAGAAAAATAAAATTATCAATCAATGTAATTATATTTCAAGTAGTTATATGATAAGAGTTATAAAAATTACTATAATATAACACATGTAAGTCGCACAAATAACAAGTGTCATTCTAAAATATATAATAATATATTTATTTTTGTAAAAAAAAGTAAATGTTAAAATAATTTCTCATTAATTTTAAAATTTAATAATAATTTTTTAACAAGCACCCGTGTAATAAACGGGTGTTGTTACAAGTGAAGTCATTATATATGATATGTACCTTCTTTAGGAACAAAACTATGTGATTAGAACAAACATATAGATAAAAATGGTGATGTGTAATAATTGAATTAATTAAGATGTTTTCTTCCATTGCTTATATCATTTTCTCTTTCATCATTGTTAATGTACAAAAGCTTTCGCTGGGCTTCTGAACGAACCAGTCACTCTAAAAAAGGGTCTCTTTCAAGACTAGCGTGTGCACAATACTTGGTTTCAAGAGGTAATAACGCCACATTGAACAATCTACATGTTCATTTTTCTGAGTTGCTTATTATATTTCGAAGGCAAATGTGAAATCATTTATCGATCAAGAACAGAAGTGGGGGGGCTTATTATTATTATTATTATTATTACTAGTATGTAACCCGTGCGATGCACATGCTGGTACATGTTTTGAAAAATTTAAAAAATTAAAAGGTCATTTATTAATGAGTTGTTATAACACGTATGACATTTATAAAGTAAACATAAAATCGTTGACAAAAAATTATACATTATTAAAAACCTCTGAGTGCTTATATATCGTCTTGCTTAAATACACCTCGAAATGCACACATATATGCAGAACGTATAATGGCAGTTATTTGCGCACCCTACAATATAAAGTTATACAAAATAAGTTAAATTAAAAAATTACGTATGTTAGTAATACAGATATACAAATCAAAATATTACCTCACGATCTTGAAAAATGATCTCAAAAAAATTATTGGATTCCACGTCAAATTTCATCTCAATAATTAGAATTGCTTATTAACAGCATGGAGTGTATCAAATAACTCTCTCATTTTTTTTAATATTTTCTGAAAGTTCTATGCGTTTTTTTATAGACAGGAATTATAAAATATGTTATTTATATATATATAGGAATCAATTAATATATATTAATTTCAATTAATTTAATTGTTGAGAGTGACTTTTAATTACAAACTTATTGAAAGGAAATAAAAATTGGATGGTGTAGGATTTTAGGTGTTTTATAGGAATGTAAATACTAATCTTTACGTCCAACTTTAATTAATTGATGAATTGAAATATTAATATTTATTTTTTTGTTGGCAGACTCCAAAAAAATTGCATAATATGCGGCCACAAAATGTAACTTATGGATTTGTACATTTGTATTTTATCGTGTAGTAGATATAAACTATTTTTGTATTAAATCTGCAAAAGTATAAAATGTGTTGAATAAAGCAAAAACGCATATATGCATTTGGTTCGTATTGATTTAATTTCCTTTTACTGTACATATTAGTATTCTTTTTTGCTTTAATTTTCGATACTTGAACGAATTAGTTTTGTTTTTTGATTTAATTTTTTGACATGGAAGATATGATTTCCATTTTACAATCATCGTTAATTTATAGAGTTTTTTAAATATATTTTTTATACTAAACGATTATATATATATATATATAGAGAGAGAGAGAGAGAGAGAGAGAGAGAGAGTTTCAATAGATATATAGAAACATGTTTAATTCATTATAATAATTGATGTACATCATTAAACTTAATCTTTATAGAAACACAGTTAATTAATCCAATTTATTATATAAACAAAAATTTATACACGCATAAAATATTAATTGATTATAGAAACACAATTTATAGAAATACAATTAATTAATTTATAGAAACAATTTACAGAAATGAATCTCCCAAATGTATTATTATATTATTTAATTAGTTGATTATTTGATTAAGCTTAATATTTTTTTAAGCGCATAAAAGAAAAAAAGAATTCGATATTTTATTTTAAACAACAATTGGAACTCAATAATTCAAGCGTGTAAATATTACTTAATCCAAACGAATGAGAGACATAATATCACGATAACAAATATAATAACACTAAAATTCATAATTCAACGACATTTAATGACAATAAAACATAATAAAATTAACAAAACAATAAATATATTAGAAATAATAACCTTCAAGGACATGGAAGAACAATGAAATTCATAATATAAATATATTAGAAATAATTTTGATATTACTAATGAAAATATTTAACTGTTCATCATGAAACAATATATGGAATGTGTTCCAACTCTCCCGTTCGTGATGCGTTTCAATATTCGGACTGCTTTCAATCGCAAATAAGGTTTGTTTGTCCTACTCACGGAATCGAGTGTATCCCAGACCTGCGGCATTATATTATCGATGTATTCTAAAATTTATCTAATATAATTTTTTTTCTCTTAATGCTGTGAATGCAGTGAAGAAATAATCGTGGTAGTGAATATCCTTTTATACAAATCGTTGTTTAGTACGTTGGTACCGAAAAGAGTAATTGATGAAAATTATTTAAATGGAGAGATATTGTTAAGATTTTATCATATAAATGATTTATATGGAGCCTTGAAAGAGGAGATTTATTATATGAAGAATTAAAAAGAGGAGATTTATTCCATAGTAT